AAATATTCAATTAAAATCGCTACGGAATATAATTTATTAGAACATATGTGATTTGCACTTGTATGAAACTCAAACACGTATTCCGAATATACAAACTAGAAACATGTGGATAAATATTATAAATATGAATACCTATAACTGTTACTTTATTACAAAAAATAAAGATGTGGTTTTTGGTTCTACTACACCAATGGTCAAGAGATGGCGCTGTAGTCTCATGAATCGCGCTTTGGTTCCGTTGTTCCAGATTAATAAATACTTTTGATAGGCCTTCACAATGCAGTCGTTAGCACCCACTAAATAGAGATTCTATTTCTATTTTGTTGGTAGATTTTCTTAATGTGCGGTAAACACAAAAGCTAAAGCTAAAGCTAAAGCGACCAACTTCATGCTGTTAAAATTTTGTGTTACAGTGATGCGCGCGCATCTTAAAATTTCACTCTCATCATTTTTTCATAACGCGCCTAAAGAAGTATAACTTCAAAAAGCCAGAACTTTACAGTGACTTCTTATATTGCAATAAAGAGACTAAAGCTTCTTTGTTTTAAGTATAGATATAAATCGTTGTTAGTAAACTACACAATACTAGAATACGAGCCAACTGGTAATTATAAGGTGACGTAAAACGATGCAACTTTTATGATGTTGCTGTGCGTGTTTTTGTCAGGTGCTCGCCTCAGTGGTGATGGAGTCGCTCTTTCTCTCCTCCGCGAAACAATGCCGCAGCAAATTGAAAGCTGTATTCATTGCGCTGTTTACGCTTGTATTTAAATTGCGAGCCCACAGAATAGGAAACAGCCTTTTATTATATCTAGGCTTTTAGTAAGCGTGAGGTGGCACTTTAGTATATCTTAGTAACCATCCCTTTTTCAAGATTGATAAGCCACAGTTTAGTGTCGCCGCACACGGGCCACCGACCACAACCACAAAACGTCGCCACCGGCATATTTCTTGTAGTTTTCATACATTTTATATGGACTCGCCCACAGAACAGAGAAACCTCTTTCTGTGTTCTGTGGACTCGCCACACACGGTACGCCGGTGGCTGCTACACGCTACGAATCGTCGTTGCTCGCTTCTTGTGGTCCGCACCGGCTACTTAATGCGCCGATACAAAACGCCGCCACACGTCACTCGCGCGATTCCCCACCCCTCTCTCCCTTACCTTAGTCGGCCGCTGTCGCGTGCTTCAGCCACTTAAGTAGCCGCTTCTAGCTTCTCGTGGCGGCGTTTGTGGCTGTGGCGTGTGGCTTGTGTGCGGCGACACTTAGAATTCACAAGCAGCTACATTTGCATCATCAGCCTATTAATATCCCCACTGCTGGGGCACAGGCCTTCCCTATGGAGGGAATAGGGAGATTGGGCCATGACCCACCACCCGGGCCCAGTGCGGATTGGTGGGTGCTAACAACTGCAGATGCAACCGGGACCAACGGCTTAACGTGCCTCGAGATAGTAAATTTTTGGTCACCCATCCAATGACCGACCACTGCGAAAGTTGCTTAACTTCAACGATCGCAGCCGAACGCGCTAACCAGTTGCGCCATCGAGCTCCTCTTTTAGCTACATTTTATTTATGTTAAAAGTATGGCAACCAAGTGTGTGGCCCGCCTCATAGTAAGCGGCCACCATAGCCTAATAGATGCTTGCGATCCCAAAAATATTACTCGCACAGTGTTGTTACACAGTTATATAAATATATTTATATAGAAATACATATATCAAACATTCATGACTGGAGTACAATTGCTCGTATTCAACACACAAATATCTGAAATGAACATTTCTAGTTTTGGCACTGGTAATACTAAATCAAATTTATATCGCGGGTTTTTATTAAATCTTTACTAATATTATAAAGCTGCAGAGTTTGCTTGTTTGTTTGTTTGAGCGCGCTAATCTCTGGAACTACAGGGGGCCAATCGCCTAACTGGATTGCTTTGGAAAACGCTATCGCTTACGATTTCATTTTGTTATTTCTAACCGCCGAAATACCTCACGCTCATTTTCTTTAACATTGTTATTACCAATGCAAAAGAAAAAAAAAGAGCGCGAGGCATTTGAAAACCTCAGGGGGCTAGAAATAACAAAATGAAATCGTAAGCGATAGCGTTTTCCAAAGCAATCCAGTTAGGCGATTGGCCCCCTGGTCCGATTTGAATGATTCTTTCAGTGTTGGGTAGTCCATTTATCGAGGAAGGCTATATTTTTTTTTCAAAATTAGGGATCCGTAATGAAATTGCTATTTTGTAACACAAGGTGTAAAATCGAAAACCTATTTTTGCGTGCGCTGCAAAAACTATTGACAATAGAACAAAATGATGTACAACGGGTTTGTAGATCCCATTAAGACCTACAAAAAAGTCCGCGAGAACATATATCTAGCTATCATGGTTTAATCACAATAACCGATTTTGTGTTCAGAATCGATATTTTCACGGAAACGAGAAAACCGCGGGTGAAACCGCGGGGCACGGCTAGTGTAAAATATGTTGGTTCTTTGTGAACAAACAATGTCTGTTTGTGAAAATCCATTCTTCAGTTTCTTCCTTCGCTAGTTTTGCTAGGATGACAGTATCGTGTAATTGCCAGTATTGCGATTCGCTAGTTTAGTTATTTGTCAGCTTCGCTAATCGAACGGTTTACCTATTCATTAGTTACCCTGGGTAAACAGTTTTTCCAGTTTGCTGTTGTCGTAATCCTTCAGTTTCCTCGTTCACTAGTTTTGCTAGGCTAGCTGTTAGTTTCGTCAATTCGCTATTATACCTTTAAACTAGTTTACCATACCTTATATAGTTTTCCTTGTCTACTAGTTTAAGGCGCTTTCAATTTATGCGTTTCTTGACGGCCTGCTGCGGTGCCGAACCGGTGCGTTTGTCGTACAGCGTACGGACGATCCTTTTTTTTCATACAAAACGCGCGGTGCGGCAACAGTCCTGTTGTCGAGCGTTCGCGGTACCGGCGCCCGCCGCACTGTTCCCGCACCGCGCGTTTTGTATGAAAAAAAAATGGGTGCGTGTACTTATGTAGGCGCGTGAGAAGTTATCCTTCTTTGGCATCGTTTAAAATTAGTTTTTAATTGCATGCAAATAATTAATTACAATAAATTAATAAAAAGTCTGGAAAAGGACACAGTCAATAAAGTTCAGTTTTAATTTGAAAAAATAAATAAATAATCAAAATATTCAATTAAAATCGCTACTGAATATAATTTATTAGAACATATGTGATTTGCACTTGTATGAAACTCAAACACGTATTCCGAATATACAAACTAGAAACATGTGGATAAATATTATAAATATGAATACCTATAACTGTTACTTTATTACAAAAAATAAAGATGTGGTTTTTGGTTCTACTACACCAATGGTCAAGAGATGGCGCTGTAGTCTCCTGAATCGCGCTTTGGTTCCGTTGTTCCAGATTAATAAATACTTTTGATAGGCCTTCACAATGCAGTCGTTAGCACCCACTAAATAGAGATACTATTTCTATTTTGTTGGTAGATTTTCTTAATGTGCGGTAAACACAAAAGTAACGCATGAAGTTGGTCGCTAAAGCGACCAACTTCATGCTGTTAAAATTTTGTGTTACAGTGATGCGCGCGCATCTTAAAATTTCACTCTCATCATTTTTTCATAACGCGCCTAAAGAAGTATAACTTCTAAAAGGACAAACGCACCGCTTCGGCACCGCAGCAGGCCGTCAAGAAACGCATAAATTGAAAGCGCCTTTACTTTTAAATCGGTGGTTAGGTTGTTTCCTATGTAATTAGAACGTATGGAATGTCATAGGTATGTTTAAACTAATGTCATAATACGACGAGGTCGTAAAACACAATCAAAACTAACTTAGGAACAAGGAAAGTGACGGCTTAAGAACACGACGAAATAGCAAAACTGAAGATCAAAATTAACTGACGGACAAGGAAACTTGCGAACCAGGAAACCAACTTTAAAGGGAAATGGATAACTCAGTGAAACTGGCAAATAAAGAAATAGACGAATTCAGAAACTGTCTTGAAATGAACTGTCCAGAAAAAATGAGTAAACAGGTGAATTGGTTAAATTGCCGGAAAGTAAACCGACCAGTGGTACGCTAACTCATATATTTAATAAAGGTTGTGATCTGAAAGTTGATTGATATCTATCACTAGAGATTACTAGAGAATAGGGTATTTGACAGTATTAAAAAAAAAGTGCCAATTGTTAGTATCTGTATTTGGAATGAATATTGGAAGGAGTTTTTACTATATTTAAGGAAAAAATATTCATAAATAATAAATAAATATTTCCGACACTCACACCAATTAGCCTAGCCCCAAAGTAAGCACTATAAGGCTTGTGTTATGGGATGCTAGGGTAACGGATAGAATACATACACTACATATATAAGTATATTTATATAAATACATATTAAACATCCATGACTGGAGTACAAATGCTCGTATTCATCACACAAACATCTGCCCCCACCGGGATTCGAACCCGGGACCTCTCGAGTCGGCGACAGCCATGAAACCCGGCGTACAAACCACTTGGCCACGGAGGTCGTCAATTCATAATTTTACTTGTCTTTTGTCACGTGACCCAAAACGCTTGGGATTGGTGGCGCCTAAAATGACGTCACACGCAAGTAAACTTCCGGTTAAAGTGACATTAGATTGTATGGTTTGACGTTTCAATGACAGTCGTGTGACGTCACACACCAGTGAGACGCCATATTGTCCAGAGATACGTTTTTCGCGGCAACTTGAAAATAGAGCTTTTGATTTAGTTTTTTTTACCGAAACACACAACATAGTGATGAATATATTTATGGATATTTTTATGGACTCTATAAACATTAGTAAATAACGTGAGATCGTTTTCTATTACTTTTCAAATACCCTATTATTGATTTTGCATTAGTTTATCGTAAACTCTTTTACATTAAAGTATTTTTTTTACATTATCTCCTCATAACAACCGATACAATCAGGGTTGGCTTCATCAGCCCTAGCTGTCAATCAAAGCATGTTGGTCGGGCTCGGGTGGCAGAGCACGGGGCACGGGGCACGGGGAATCTAGCTGGTAGGTGGTGGGTACTGGGTAGGAGAGAGCGGCCGCGGGGCGATCGCGCATGGCGGGCGGGGCCGGAGTCGGGCGGACCGGGGGCTCGGCCGATCGATGCGCCCAAGGCCACGGCCGCGCTATCGATTTTGTATAAATAGCTTCAGCTCTGCCGCCCTGCCTTACACTGCTGGGCGGGAGACGCGTGTCTCCTCGCAGCGGCCACAGTACATTGCTCCATGCGGTGATACCAATGTGCAAAACCACACGGCTAGACAACACGCATGCCATTACAAACGTACTGAGAATCGACAAATTAATAACCGTTAAGTCTCGTGGTGTTAATATTTTTCGTCTGTCGTCTACCACCGAGATGGTGGTATATGGTTTTATATTTTACCAATGTGCAAAGCCACACGGCTAGACAACACGCATGCCATTACAAACGTACTGAGAAACGACGAATTAATAACCGTTAAGTCTCGTGGTGTGAATATTTTTCGTCTGTCGTCCACCACCGAGATAATGGTATATGATTTTATATTTTACCAATGTGCAAAGCCACACGGCTAGACAACACGCATGCCTCCGTGCCTCCGTGGCCGAGTGGTTTGTACGCCGGGTTTCATGGTGTCGCCGACTCGAGAGGTCCTGGGTTCAAATCCCGGTGGGGGCAGATGTTTGTGTGATAAATACGGGCATTTGTACTCCAGTCAAGGATGTTTAATATGTATTTTCTATATAAATATACTTATATATGTACAGTATATGTATTCTATCCGTTACCCTAGTATCCCATAACACAAGCCTTATAGTGCTTACTTTGGGGCTAGGCTAATAGGTGTGAGTGTTGGAAATATTTATTTATTATTATTATTATGCCATTACAAACGTACTGAGAAACGACGAATTAATAACTGTTAAGTCTCGTGGTGTGAATATTTTTCGTCTGTCGTCTACCACCGAGATGGTGGTATATGGTTTTATATTTTTTAAACATCAACAAATCTAAGCTTGCGGGAGGACCTTTCGATCAGGGAAATGTTTTTAATCGAGGATTTAAATCTGTTTATGTTAATGTTAGTGCTAATCTTTTATCCGCATTTATGACTACTTTATATATTCTAACGTACACTCGCACGCACAGGTTTCTCCTGTTAATATCGCTCGTAATAAATGCCTCTTTAGTTCTTTATCGTTCTTGATGTCTGGTTATCTTTTCTGGACTTACATCAATATTAAATTATGTAGATACGATTACGAAATCAAATTTGTTCCTCATCGGCAAATTCCAGTTGGTCTTTTTGACTCTGGAGTCAGCGGCTTTGTGTCTTTATTGGTTACGAACATCAGTTTTCTATCGATAATTTATATAAAACGTAATCCATTTTGACAGATAATAACGCAAACTTATACTTGATGACACTTTTTAGAATTAAATCTAATAGATACTGCTAAAAAATTAAGCCGAAGGAGATGGTAAAATTTGTATGAGCGGCTGCCCTAGGAATGTATAAATATTATACTTAGTAATACATATTTAATACTGAATAATTAAAAGTTCTTACATGAAACGATGAAATTACGGTTACCTTGGAATCCTATACCTTTTACCTTGGTATACCTTGGTTTTCGTTTCATAGAATCTCAAGTCACAACGATACTAAAAAAGTTTTCACTACAAGAAGTTTAATTTCCCGTTTGCGGGGCAAAATATGGGACTATGAAGATAAAACATTCCAGCGCTCCCTTTGCAAACATAAAAAATAAAACAAAACTTCATTTGAACGAGCATAAAAAATCCAAGCGATTCATACAAAAAAGTTATATCGGGATAGACCGGGTACTATTGGATACTTACCTTGGCTAATTACTCAAAGTGCCGTGGTCTAAATTATATTCTGTAGACCTTATCGGACTCATCACACCCTAAAACATAAATACTTACTTACTTACTTACTGTTGTGGCGCAACGATCCGAAGTGGATCTTGGCCTCCGACACAAGATGACGCCATGCTCTGCGATCCCGGGCTAGGTCTCGCCAGCCGTCGGCACTCAAAGACTGCAAGTCCCTCTGCACCTCGTCGCTCCAGCGGTATCTGGGACGTCCAACGGGCCGTCGTCCTATCGGTTGCCTCAAATACGCCCTTTTCACGGCTCGATCCTCTCCCATTCTCTCTACATGCCCGAGCCAGCGGAGTCTAGCTGCTTTAATTTCTCCTATGATGTTGGGCTCGGACACATAAAACATAAATATCAGTCATAATATACTGGTTCAAATATTTGACCCCAAAAAAGAGGACTGGACTCAACGTTTCCAGAAAACCAAAGAGTTTGACAAACATAAAGGTTTAAAAAAAATATAACTAGAAAAAACTAGAAAAAAAAATTGGTCAGTGCATTCGCCCGGATTGCGAAGAGTGCTGGTTTGAGTCCCGTCTGCTGCCCGGTCCGCGTGGATTTTTTTTCTAGTTATATTTTCTTTACATTTAAACACCAAGCAGTAACATGCTTTAAAAAATAAAAAAATGCTTAAAAAAAGATAATTATGTCACTAAATATTTTACGTACATGAAAATTATTTAAACAATATCTAAATTCAGTTCACATTTTAAAAATTTTATTAATGACAATCCGTCATCTTTGTTTGTCAAAGTTGCGCGACATAGCATGCGCACCAAAAATGTAACGAGGTCATTCATCGATAGATTTTACTCCTCACATTTTTCTCATACCGGGCCCCTTATATATGCAAATCGATTCCTAAGGAGTAAACTCCAAAAATCTATACTTATAATAAATCTGTAGAGAGGTCAATTCTGTACATGAAATATATTTTCAAAATAATTATCAGGGGGTGATTAGTGATCGATACTGATGCCAAAAAAGCAATCAGTAAAATTTTTGTCTGTCTGTGTGTATGTTCCTTATAGAAACAAAAACTACTCGACGGATTTTAACGAAACTTGGTACAATTATTCTTCATACTCCTGGGCAGGTTATAGTATACTTTTCATCACGCTACAATCAATAGCAGCAGAGTAGTGAAGGGAAATGTTCGGAAAACGGGAGAAGTTACTCCATTTTTTAAGCTTCCGTCGCGTGTGCAGCCTTAATGGTTAAGATTACATAGAAATCATGTATGACGAAAATATTCTACATAAAATTGTCTAAAAAATATCCCGCAACAGCATATGTCTATCTTTTATGGTTGACTCACAATAACACGTGTAATTATATAAATAAAGTCATTGTTTATAGCACAAGTCTGAGAACAAAAACTATAGTTTACACTACAGCTCTACACCGAAGCGAAGCAAGGGCGGGCCACTAGTTATAACATAAAGGTTGTATACTGTGTGTACGTGTTTTGATCGCAGCATTGTTGGGCTCGTCAGTTCGTCGTCCGGCCGTCCTTGGGGGCCCATCTACTCCTTCCACCCGATTCGTTGCCCGAGCGATGTACCTACCTCGCTTATGGAGCGTCTTGCTTATCCGCAAACACTCTTGTAAGCTCCTACTTAGCCTTTATGAAACTATAATTCCATCTAATACGGCTCTGTACAAGGATTATAATACTGTTTCTTGTTAAGTCTTCAATAAAAGTTTCATATAATTCATTGACGTCTTCATCATCAGCCTATTAATGTCCCCACTGTTGGGGCACAGGCCTTCCCTATGGATGGAATAGGTAGATTGGGCCGTGACCCACCACGCGGGCCCAGTGCGGATTGGTGGGTGCTAACGATTGCAGATGCAGCCGGGACCAACGGCTTAACGTGCCTTCCGAAGCACGGAGGAGCTCGTGATAGTAAATTTTTGGTCACCCATCCAATGACCGACCACTGCGAAAGTTGCTTAACTTCAACGATCGCAGCCGAACGCGCTAACCACTTGCGCCATCGAGCTCCTCACGTTGACGTCTTGTAGCTTATCAAATTTGCTTTGACTGCCATTAGTATACTCTTGATATCTCAGTCTATTTCTCTGTTTTTTCGCTTTTAACCTCGCCTGGCTAATTCATCTACAAGCGTACTAGAATCTATTACTGGTATGTTATTACACGAGTAAATGTATATTTGGCTGGTTGCACAAAGTTATTAAAATCCCAGACATGTTTAAATCGTCGTATAAGATGTATGTATGCTTTTCTGATTCGCGCTCATAGTCATCATTTTTCTTATTTATTTTATACTAGCGGCCGTCCGAGGCTTCGTCTGCGTTAATAATATAAAATAATAATAATACATAATTAAAATAATAAAAAATACAGATACCCACAGGATTGAGACATAAAATACTACCTTACCCCCAGATATTTTGTATGTGTGTGTTTTTAAATATTTAATTGATTAGGTTTAAATGGCAATATTAAAGTAAAAAACATAGGATAGTAAACAAATTAGGACATTAATAATCACTGAAAGTCTCAAACGGTCAGAATCATCCCGTTCAGCGCAATCACGCTTAAGAATTATTTGGGATCATTGCCAACGCTGGAAAGTGACATGAACGCATGTGTCAATGTTTTTCTCACTGTTTGTAATCATAAGCATTGCACGTTCTCCGTCTTGTCACAAAATAGATAGTACAGAAGGTTATCTCATTTATGTACTTCTCTTTTCATACCAACACTCGGAGGTCTCATTAGGATTGTCAACTTTGCACAAAAAAAACGTGGCAGTGGCACTCGTACGTTTAAAGATAGTTGTTTGATTTATTATTGTTAATGAAACAGGAAGAATGGAAATATAATAGTAACTGAAGTATTTCAGTTTTAATGTTATTGTTATATTAGTAGCATAAAATAAAATAACACCGTTTAATGTTGAATTCAAACAACCGTTCACTGAAAACTTATTTTAACTCCATTCAGTTACCCCATTTTTGTACAAAAAAAGAATCATATACCAAGGGTATGTGATTTTTGTATCTCAAGCGGATGGAATTCGCGCTTGCAGTGGTCTGAACTGGTCCGAGATATCGTGTCTGTAAGCGGTGTGGGTTGCGCAAACTTACTCTGTAGATTATCTCCTGTACTATTTATTTTGTGGTCTTGTCCCGCGTTCGTTGCTATTGTAATGAGCTGTTCCAACTTGAGTTTTTCTCTACACGTGACATCTAGACTACAGCTTTGATGCGAATGTTCTCATTTCTGTCACGTTGGGTTGTATATTTAATTTGTCAAAGTTTGCCTGTTTATGTCCACTAAGAATTCGTGGACACTTTCAATGTGGATCACGTACTGAGTCGACGCAGTCTTCTGTGAATTTATTTGTTTGAGCGCGTTGATATCTTTTTTTATAAGTTTCAATTATTTTGTTTATAATAGTACGACAAAGTACCTATCGTTACTTCATTATTTTCTTATTTCTTTGTTATTCTCACAAATATACTTAGCTTCGCTTAAAAGGAAATCCTATGTCGTGGATAGGGTGACAGATTTTGACATTTTATTAGAATCCATTCGTACCATAACAATGACCGCGCAGCTGTGTAACTTTATATTATTTGTTTCTATATAACATACACACATATGAAAGATCTTTAAGTAGTTATTAAGCACGATAAACAAATAATAAATAATGAGTTGAAAATGTCAAAACTTACATTATGGCAATAAAGTCAACGTGAAGCACAAGACTCGAGTGAATGAACCGCGCGTTCTCTAAAAGACATTTAGACACATATCTGAATGACATTACAAAAATAATTGTACTAGTTTCTTATATTTTCACCAATCACACTAATATTATAAAGGCGAAAGTTTGCGAGTGTGAATGTTTGTTACTTCTTCACGTCTAAACGGCTGGAGCGATTTTAATAAAATTTGGTATGGAGATAGCTGACACCCTGAATTAAAACCTAGGCTACACTTTACTGCGGGAAAATATCCCTAATAAAACGCGGGTAACACCGTGGGGCACAGCTAGTTATTTAATAAAAAAACTTTTAAACGGGATATAGGAGTGAATTATGGATTTTTTACACAATGCTTTATCAATTTTCTTTAAACATCCATTTCTCATTGTATTTGTGACTTCTTTTTATTCATTTGTAATTTTATTAATATCGGAATCCTCATTAGATGACATTGTTGTCCGTCTGTCCATCTGTCAAGACCCTTCATCTCGGGAACGCTTGGAAGTACAGAGCTTATATCTAAACCATGCATTCATCTACTGGCCCTTGAAGCTGTAAAAAAATTAAACATTTGAGTTAACATAGTATTTTTCAATCTTGTTGAATCTTGAAATAATAAACTTTCATTGATGTACGAGTATGTTATATATGATTTCACACATATTATTGCTTTAAAAATATCATTCTTCCTCTCTTCTTATAACCAATTGCGTGCCCGACGGGGTCCATAATGCTCATATATATATAAGTACCTACCACCCACTGTACACATTATGGTTGCAACAAATGATTTGGATTTGAGTTCTTTAAATGCGCTCTGTTTACTACGTGCATTTTCAGGATTCTCTCCCGTACGTCGTCGAGAGTGTTGCCAATCATTTGCCAAGCTTGGTTGGTAATTATCAATCAAAATGTTGTCGGTAGGTTTTGAAATAAACTGAAAACCTAAGTTTAAACTCATACCCCCTTATTCCAAAACGCGGACTAAAGTTAGTCTTGGTTTAAGCTAATGTTGTCTGTGTCTTCTTTTTAGCAAACAAAAGTGGCAGCATCAGTTTTAGTGTCGCCGCACACGAGCCACCGATCACAACCATAAAACGCCGCCACCGGCATATTTCTTGTAGTTTTCATACATTTTATATGGACTCGCCACGCACGGTACGCCGGTGGCCGCCATACGCTACAAATCGTCGTTGCTCGCTTCTTGTGGCCCGCACCGGCCACTTAATGCGCCGATACAAAACGTCGCCACACGTCACTCGCGCGATTCCCCACCCTTACCTTAGTCGGCCGCTGTCGCATGCTTCAGCAACTTTAGTAGTCGCTTCTAGCTTCTCGTGGCGGCGTTTGTGGCTGTGGCGTGTGGCCCGTGTGCGGCGACACTCGTCGTTGTTTGACTTTATTCTACGTTTTGTAATAAGGCGATTAAGCATTATTAAATCTTTATCAGATTCTATAATAGTTATGAATTTTCTACTCGTGAAAATAACAGACTCCAGAAAAAGCGTATTTTTCATGTTCTTTTTTCCAAGTTTTATTTTTCACGATAAAAACCCTGTTTTTTTGCATCTCCATTTTAGATTCATACAGCCAAGTGAAGGAAGGAGTGCCTTAGATTTGACCGTGTTTTATTATTCATGCTCAAATCACTTCTAAAGAAATATCCGAGTACACTCATCAAAAGTGTCTACGGATCAAGTAGGTGCGAAATGTACCTAAGAATATTATAATATAAAGCTCAATATTTTATTTGGTTGAAACACGCTAATCTCAGAAACTACTGTTTTTTTTTGTAGGATTGTCTAGTGTATACACGGTACTATACTAGTGGGTGCCTGTGAGTTCGTCTGCGTTTTCTGACATTTTTCTATACAAGTTCTCGCCCCCTTCCCCCCCCCCCCCCCCCCCCTATCACCCACTTTAAGGTTGATTTCTAGGATAAAACTAGCGAAATCCGTACACGGGACCCCAACTATCTCTATGCCAAATTTCTTTCCAATCGGTTCAGCGATATTAGCGTGAAAAGGTAACAGCTATAAAGACAGACAGACCCACTTTCGTATTTATAATATAAGTATAACTAACTTCACTGTGACTTGGCGCTACGACTGGTAGGAGAACAGCATCAACGAAAAGTGTTGCAAAAACAGCAAAAATGATTCCTTTTGATAGCTTCCTTATGCAGCACAGAACGGACGTTTAAAGTAACTCCATAATCATAATGTGACATACCTATTACGGAATTGTTCACAGTAAAAAAAAGACTGCTACTGCATTATCTAATATCTTTTTTTTAAATTAATGCGAGTAAAACCGCGGGGCACTGCATAGCACAGCTCATAATGTACAAGTACTGTTATTTTTTACAATATGGAAATGAACAAGTACTTTGCTAAGTTATAGGTACCTACAATTATAAGTAAAAAGTCTATCATATATGGGAAATTAGAATTCTAAATATTGATTAGACATTTTTTGGTTGTATCCTTAAAAAATGTATCCTTAGACACTTTTGATACTGTTTTTGCTTTTCTAGCTATCACATTATAAGTGATTTTAGCTAAAATACGAAATTCTGAGAGTTTCGTAATTTCCGTGCCCTGAAAATGTTTTAGCCATCTACGATGAAAAGATAAGCTTCTTATATGTATTTTATTTTTCAGCAAAATCTTTGATTTATTGGCAGCTTTGCGATAGTGCGATTACGGTAAATGGTAAAATTTGGCTTTTTAGTTATATTGAATATTAATTTATCCCTGAATGATGTTAATAATAAAAGTTTTGTACTGTTTATATGCAGTCTGTTAACTTTATACAATACTAGTTATCCGCCGTCGCTTCGCTTCGGTGTAGCGACAAGACATCTTAATTTTTACTTCTGCGCAATACCGGTCAGCGCTAGAGTTTTGTGCTGCGACTTATACAACACGAAGAAGTAGTTATATATATCATCATCATCATCATATCAGCCGTATGACGCCCACTGCTGGACATAGGCCTCCTCCAAGGATCTCCACAACGATCGGTCCTGCGCTATAATATAATACATATTATATATATATATGTATACTAGCTGACCCAGCGAACTTCGTACCGCCCTAAAAAAATAGGGGTTGTCCAGCGGACAAAATTGTGAATTTAAACCATTCTCAGATCCCCTTGAATACACACAAAAAATTTCATCAAAATCGGTCCAGTCGTTTAAGAGAAGTTCAGTGACATACACACTCACAGAAGAATTATATATATAAAGATGTACAGGGTGGTCCAACTAGCGACGTCAACAATAGTTTTTTAGATTCCTCGCATCTGGGGGTATCAGAAAATACCCCATGTATGTTCCGTGATTTTTCTTAGTTTTCGAGTTATAAGTTTTTTTGTGTATTTTTAATGATTTCTGCCAGCGAGGTTTCAAAAATTCTGATCTTTTTTCGTAGTAGGTATTTTGCAGTCTTTTTTTTGTGACATAATTGTCTTGAATGTTGTTTTAATAAAAAAATAACTCAACTTCCTGCAATTACTTAAAGTTACTAGAAAAGGCTTGAAAGTTGGATCTTTAGTTTTTAGTAGGATTTACTCAAACGTTCAACTTCAATACAAAAATAATAATAATAATAATAATAATAAATATTTCCGACACTCACACCAATTAGCCTAGCCCCAAAGTAAGCACTATAAGGCTTGTGTTATGGGATGCTAGGGTAACGGATAGAATACATATACTGTACATATATAAGTATATTTATATAAATACATATTAAACATCCATGACTGGAGTACAAATGCTCGTATTCATCACACAAACATCTGCCCCCACCGGGATTCGAACCCGGGACCTCTCGAGTCGGCGACAGCCATGAAACCCGGCGTACAAACCACTCGGCCACGGAGGTCGTCAATACAAAAAGGAGTTTCCATAGCTTCTGGCTAAAATTAAAAACTCCGCATGGTGAAAACTAAGATAAATCGCGGAACATACGTAGGGTATTTTCGGATACCCCCAGGTGCGAGGAATCTGAAAAACAATTGTTGACGTCGCTAGTTGGACCAACCTATATATATACATATATATATAATACATATAGACGACCTCCGTAGCCGAGTGGTTTGTACAGCCATGAAGCTGTCGCCGACTCGACAGGTCCCGGGTTCGAATCCCGGTGGGGGCAGATGTTTGTGTGATGAATACGAGCATTTGTACTCCAGTCATGGATGTTTAATATGTATTTATATAAATATATATGTACAGTATATGTATTCTATCCGTTACCTTAGCATCCCATAACACAAGCCTTATAGTGCTTACTTTGGGGCTAGGCTAATTGGTGTGAGTGTCGGAAATATTTATTTATTTATATATTATAGCGCAGGACCGATCGTTGTGGAGATCCTTGGGGGAGGCCTATGTCCAGCAGTGGGCGTCATACGGCTGATATGACGATGATGTATATGGGGTATTTTCGGATACCCCCAGGTGCGAGAAATCTAAAAAAAAATTGTTAACGTCACTAGTTGGACCACCCTGTATAGGTAGGTACTTATTAATAGTATAAAACTGGACAGATTCTTTATATCAGTATTTGTTTTTTTTTTTGGATAAACGTGCTAATCTCAGGAGCTACTGGTTCCATTTGAAAAAAATGGTTGCCTGTAAAGTCGGTTTTACGGGCGAAGATTTTACGTGACAACGTCTTTTTCTCGGTAGAATATTTATTGATATGAATATAATTAAATTGCACAATAGGAACAAGGAATTGAATGAAAATAAGAATTGCACAAATTTTAACTATAGAAATATATTTTGTTTACTAAAACATTGTACATGTAAACTTAAACTTAACACGAGAGACTCATCGTAACGTTACCGAGCGTTACACTTTTTCATAAGTGACTCCCAGCCGCAACCTAATTTAAGACGTTGTCACGTCAAAATGTTTTGGTGTTAGATAGTATATTTATCGGGGAAAGTTTTAAGGTATATAATATGACGCTACGACCAGTAGGAGCGGGGGGTATCGATGAAAAACGTTGCATAAACCGGGTAAAAAATGTTTCGTTTGAGAGCTTCCTTTGCCTAAACAGTTGAAGATACACAAAGATAGACGACATTAAATATAACGGTATCTCTTATCTATTAGACAAGTCCGTCTGTCCGTGGTGCTGTTTCAGCGGCCAAACCGTAAGAGATAGATAAAGAGAATATTTAAGTTATAAGTTAAGAATAGTCTGATAAGACTACAAACCGGATTTGAGTGACGTAGCACTTCCGGTTTTCGAGAAATCAGGTTTTGGTGAACATTTGGTTCACTGGTTTGCTAGTTGCTCCTATTTAAAAGTTCTTTAAAAAAAGTCTGCGACAGCATATATCCATCTTTTAAGTTTGATTCGCTATAACCGTTTTTATCCGTATATATAAAATTCACGTGTCACAATGTTAGTTACCATACTCCTCCGAAACGGCTTGACCGATTTTTATGAACTTTATATGCATATTCAGTAGGTCTGAGAATCGGCTACTATCTATTTTTCATACCCCTAAGTGATAAGGGTTGCCACCCCTAACATTTATTTAGATATTGGTTTATTTTTTTATATTGTGGCATTAAAAATACATAAAGCTCTAAATTTTCACCCTTCTACCACCCATATTTTTATGGCGATACGAAATTCGCTGGGTCAGCTAGTCTTTATATATATAATTCTTCTGTGAGTGTGTATGTCTCTGAACTTCTCTTAAACGACTGGACCGATTTTGATGAAATTTTTGAAGTTATACTTCTTTAGGCGCGTTATGAAAAAATGATGAGAGTGAAATTTTAAGATGCGCGCGCATCACTGTAACACAAAATTTTAACAGCATGAAGTTGGTCGCTTTAGCGACCAACTTCATGCGTTACTTTTGTGTTTACCGCACATTAAGAAAATCTACCAACAAAATAGAAATAGAATCTCTATTTAGTGGGTGCTAACGACTGCATTGTGAAGGCCTATCAAAAGTATTTATTAATCTGGAACAACGGAACCAAAGCGCGATTCAGGAGACTACAGCGCCATCTCTTGACCATTGGTGTAGTAGAACCAAAAACCACATCTTTATTTTTTGTAATAAAGTAACAGTTATAGGTATTCATATTTACAATTTTTATCCACATGTTTCTAGTTTGTATATTCGGAATACGTGTTTGAGTTTCATACAAGTGCAAATCACATATGTTCTAATAAATTATATTCAGTAGCGATTTTAATTGAATATTTTGATTATTTATTTATTTATTCAAATTAAAACTGAACTTTATTGACTGTGTCCTTTTCCAGACTTTTTATTAATTTATTGTAATTAATTATTTGCATGCAATTAAAAACTAATTTTAAACGATTTCAAAGAAGGATAACTTCTCACGCGCCTACATAAGTACACGCACCCATTTTTTTGTGTGTGTTCAAGGGGATCTGAGAATGGTTTAGATTCACAATTTTGCCCGCTGGACAATGTTTTTTTAATTAAATTTTTTTATGG